ATTCCTATTGCTTCAGCTGTCTATAGAAGACGAACTCGTAGAGCAAAATTAAGATTAGTCGGAAAGCGATAAATAATTTTAAATGCAATATTAACGTCAACCTTATGCTCAGTATCAACAAGGTGTGCTAAAATAGAACTACGAATAGATCTTGTTTGTCCCCTGATTAACCATGTTGGATGATGTTCGGAAATACGATGATGAACCTGCCTAATTGTACGCCCAAAGTAGCTGGCTCCGCAGCTGCAGTCAAACTGGTAGATACACATAGAGGAGGCAAATTTGGGTAGTTTATCCTTATTTCTCGAACATAGAATAGGGGTGGTTGTGAAGAGACAACGTACCTCTGCTGCATAATAAGCTCTTTTAACTGCATTCTTCAGGCGCTGTGTTATTATTTTAATCTGGCATTTTGTATATCTATAACCGTGGCCAAACTTCGATTGATGATTCTCCTTCTCATCAAGAGTGCTTCTTCCCCTTAACCCTCTTGGTTTTTTTCTTTCTTTGCTTATTATTATTATTATTATTATTATTATTATTATTATTCGTTATAATTTATACTCTTCATGCAAACATTCTCTCAATACTATCGAATTTTCTATTTATACTATCCGGACTTATTACTGTTAGTGATATTATCTCTTTTCTCACCATATGCTTCCACCTGTTTCATTTCACACATTCGTTATTTCATGATGAACCTCTCATTGCAGTCCTACTATCTCCTGTTTAATAAATATCACTTTGCACTAGCCACTCACCTGACTGACACCTTTTATAACCTTGAACTGACTTGTCAATTTTCCTACTCCACACTCTATGAATCTATTATGACTAATCACCACCATTGTCTCCCATTTCACAATATTTTGTAATCCATTTCAGCCTAGCACGTTAGAGCACGCAAATACGACTATTTATTTTGACACCCCATACATAACTAATCTGTTGTTCTACATTAAAAAAATGTATCCACCGCATAACTAACTGGCCATTATTGTAACGACAACGAATATAATTATATTTTATAAGTGTGTAAGGACCTGAAGTAGAGAAATTATTGAAAAGAATATTCTTTTTCGTTCAGATTGACTTTTAAATTATGTACGCCTTATCTTCTTCTTCTTCGGTGTTGTACTACTTCTGCCCTTCCTTCATATTGTGTTCCTTTCACATCTCCCATGTATCTCCGGAATGCTGTTGTATCATTTGCTTTTTTCTGACTGACTGACGTCATATCTATTTCCCTGCTATTTGATGTTTCTTTATGCCAATAAAAATCTCTTTATATATACATACTACTGATAAATCTTATCAGTAGCACACGCTACAGTACCACTTCACTCACCTTATTGCAATAATAAATGGAACGCCTGTGAATCTTTCTTAATTGTATGTACTCTGAAAGTGAGTTTTTTTTACAAAGAAATATTTACCTTCACTCCAACTATCTCGCAGTATAGTTATTCAAATAAAGAAATGGAGGTATTACATTATTATGATTTCCAGTTTTCCTTCTTCTACGCAGTGTAATATTGTCTATCTTTTCAGCATTATAGAAAAATGAAAACAAAACACGTAGTTCAGCGAAGAGTCTCTTTTCGGCGGCAAATTCATTTTCCTAGTTGTACAATCGCAAATTTATATATGTGTCCACTAAAGCCGAGCATTAACAATTTACGACTGTATAAAAGATACGTAGACAACATATTCATTATTTGTGACAACAACAATGACCCCAGTCTACTACTGAAGACATTTAACTGTTGTCATCCAGCAATAAAATTCACTCTTGAAATGGAAAACGAATCAAAAATTCCGTTTCTTGATGTGGAACTAACAAGAAGAACTGATGCGACCCAAAAAAGATCGATCCATAGAAAAGCTACTTGGAATGGTCAACTAACAAGCTTCTATAGCTGAGTACCCATTCAAAAAAAGCGGAATTTAATTAAATCATTTGCCACCCGCATCCGGCGCATCTGTAGTTCTGACGTTCTAGAAACGGAATTAGATGCGTGGAGAGAAATCTTCATCCAAAATGTATACCCACCAAGATTCATTGACAAAAATATCAAACCAAACTTCACTTGCGCCTAAAAAGAAACTCTACATGAACTTGGATTTCAAGGGTGATTTAACAAGCAATACTCCCAAGAGAAAGATCTCATCATCTCTGAGAACATTCTTTGCGGCAACGCTAAGAATAGTGTTCTCCAGTCACCCACTGATCTGCAGAAGCCTCAAGGACAAGATCCCGCATCTGACCACTTCTATGTGCATATATCAGTTCACCTGCTGCTGTGGAACTAGGTACATCTGTGGTTCGACTCGCACCCTGTCCAAGAGGATTCAAGAACACTATCCAGTATGGTTGCGAAAAGGTAATAGTGGTGCAGTAAGAAGTGCGATAATTGAACACCTGGTTAACACTAATCATTTCATCTCAACAAACGGCTCCTTCAAAGTAATCTACAGAGTCAAGAATCACCTACTAAAGGCAACACAGTTTCATCTTCTTTTTATTGCTGAAACTCTGGTCATTTACATAGAAAAACCAGAGCTGTGCATACAAAAGAGAATTACTCAACCACTTCTACTGTCGTGGTAACAACTTTGCTGATTTTTGATGACTTAATTTTGTTTGTTTGCTTGCCTGTTTCTTTAATTGCTTATAATTCTCGTATTCATTTAGAACTCTTACGTAATTTCGTATTAACTACTTTGTTCCTATGTGTATCCTGAGTACAACTCAATCATAAAACTATTCATATTATTACATAACTTCTTTTAACAACTGTTTGTGACAACTCATCACCTTTAATACTACCCTAATTTCATCAACACTTAATTTTCTTGACTGATTTTGTATTAAGTAACTCCAATTATCAATCTTCACCTGTTTAGTTTAAATAACCATAACCAATTGTATTTTTGTTTGGCAAATTTAATATACACATACATACAAAATAACACACATATATATTTGCTATTGTACAGCTAAGAAAATGAATTCGCCGGCAAAAAGAGACTCTTCGCTGATCTACGTTTTTTTTCATTAATGCCTGGATGGGGATTATCTATGAATTATAGAAAAATGTTAAACTATACTCATTGTGATATGAATAGTCGGAAACCGTTTGCTAACTCAATCAAAGGAGTCTAATCATCGAAGGACATTAGTTGCTTACTAAACTAGTGACCAATGAAAGCACCCATTACAGTCTCCTACAGGAGGTCACAGTTGCGAGCCTGAATAGCTCACTGGTTGGTAACATCTCTGAGGAGATATGAGTTCCTACTCCAGGATTGAAGATATGCCTTGCTGACTGGTGTCAGTGCCAACAAACACGAAACTTAGATCCAAGGCTTCCTGTCGATCGTTTCCAATCACTTAACACCAATGTAGTGCGTACCACGATGGCAAATCACACCTAGTATATTGATTACATTGTCGACTTGAGTGATATAGAATTCAGCCTGCACCAATCCAAGGATTAGAAGTTTGACCAATCATCAAAGTAGATAGTTTATTTGACGGATGTTGACTAGCAGTGGAATCTAGGATGCGTATTTCACCCCTATTTATGACTCGTCATCTGGATGCACCTGCATTCCACACTCACCATTCACCAAATTATCTTTATATTTTTCACTTTGTTCCTTTGAGTTCCAAGTGGAACATAAGGCTTCAAGCCTCAACTGTGAGGTTTCAGTAGCAGTGGTGTTTTTTCGGGGTGGGGTTGCAGGCCTCACACCCAGCATTCCCTCTTTGTCGGGAAATATAACCGGCTAAACGAGGTAAAGGTGTGCGCCAGTCGAGAATTGAACCCCAAACCATATGGGGTATAGTTGGCGAGCATTCTATGGTTGAATCACATTATATCACTTCAAGTTAATCCTCAAGCATACTCATCGAAGAGTTTGTACTAGGAGGTTGAACATTCCGGTTCAATCAATCAACAGGGGGACAATAAAAATTAGATTAAAAATATCGGAAACAATCATTTTTCGTGTTTGACTACGGATTTATATCAGTTAGAGAACCATTGAAAATCAGTTACAAGGAGTACTGGATAGCTGTTTCGTCAACTTACTTTGGGACTCCTTGGAAGTACACACTCAATGGATTTCGAACCCAGAACGCCTTCCAGTTACAAGGCAAGTTCGTACACTGATGTTGATCTAATCCTTACAAACCAACTTTTGAAAAGTAATCTGATGCTAGCTAGTGATGGATGGAGTTTCCTGGAGTTCTAGAGTAAGAAGTCGTGACCATACGGGTCCATCCATCAGTCAGCAGTGAGGATGAAGTCCCCACCGATAACATTGGTTGGTCTCAGTCACGCCAAAAATTCACGAATTAGAAGTAGAAGTTAGAATTCATGGGGGCTGGTCATTCAGAAGAATCGAGTTCCAGTGGCTCTGAATGATATACGAGTTTGCTTGCTTGTTTGCTTGTCACCGAAAGGTGTCTTGGGTTCGAGCTCTGGCGGTGTTGTGGGTGGTGTGTACTGCCGATGATTTCTAAATTAAGTTGACGAAACAGCTGTCTGGCAGTAACTCCCCTCTGTGGCTAGTTTTCAATGCTTCTCTAACTCTGATATCAATCCGTGGTCTAACTTGGAAGAAACAAAACAAACAACAAATCTAATCGTTACAAATCTCAATTCTTGAAAATTTTGCATACATATATATATATATATATATGCATACGTATGTACACATTACATGTATGTACCCAATAAAAGTGTTTTATGAGAAATAGTAACACTCGGAAACAGGGAAAGGAAAACAAAAGAATGTAAACAGGAACATTAAAATAGAACTTCAAATTAAAATAAAAAAACAAGCGTTCCCTCTAATGAATGAATCAAATATATGTGTATATATATGTTGTATATATGTGTATATATATGTATGTATAACAATTTGAATCAGAATGAAAGCTTGTCCGATTGTCTTCTCTCAGTCTACGCTTTTCTTCTTCTTTTCTCTCATTGTGTTTTAATTAAACCATTTTTCTTTAACACTTCTATAGCATCATTAAGTGTTCCGCTTAAACTTGATTGGTCGTCTACACTCACAGGTATTGGACCGATTGAAATTGGTCCAAAATATACAGAGAAAAAGATGAAACCGAATACAGACAAGATCATAATTAAAATTAGGCCAATGTATAAACCGCATTTAACTTGTGGATCTTGTTTCAAACTTGTAATTTTCGCTAAATGTTTCTCTTGATTTAAACGACGCATTTCATCTTCAAGAGCATCATCATCAGCATCCTCAACGTCGGTGTCACTACTGATTTGAATAATATCACCGGATTTAGGATGTCTTCGGGAATGAGCAGCCGCCTTATCACCATCATTATCATCATCCTCATGTGAACTCACTGGACAACATTTACATCCATATCGATCTCTAACTTCAGGATCAGAGCATGGATGATCAGCACAACCACAAAACCATAAAAAGATATTTCTTATTAATCGATAAAAGGGTGATGAAGATGATGATTTCGATGGAGATGTTTCATCTTCCATAGGATTTGGACCTGAAATAAATTTAGAAAAAGAAATAGGAAGAAAGAAAACAGAATAGATGAAATCTAAATACTCCATTTACTGTGATGTGGTCGTGTTGTCTGAGCTAGCTGGATGGTTTATTTGCGAAGCTTTCATTGCCCTACTTACTAGGCAACATCTTCAGTGCATACTTCAGTTTGGTGAAGTGAGCTTTTAGATTTCTCCACGAGTTTATTAGTCATCTCTCCTGGTGACCACCTTGGACGTGATTGGTTGGTTTTGTGTGTTTTATTAATAACCTAATAAACAACGTCCTCAATGACATCGAATTCACAAGAGAAGAGGAATGCGAGAACAAAATCCCATTTTTGGACGTCTTAGTCAGGCGGGCAACCCCAGGAGAATTAGAAACTGAAGTTTATACAAAAAATCAACTCACACAGACCAAATACTCAATTACAACAGCAACAATCGAATAACACACAAAAGGAATTGTATACAAACACTATTCAAGAGGGCCAGCCAAGGCTCATTGCACCACTCTTGCCTCAAGGAAAATTGAAGACAGATATCTCATGGACATCTTCCAAAAGAATGGGTATCCACGGAATTTCATCAAAAGACATCTACCCTCAAGCCAACCTACCAAATCAAAGGCCCCCAAGTTAAGAATAAAGAAAATAGCCCTACCATAAATAAACGACATCTCAGGAATCACTGCAAGACTCTTCAAACCCTTAGGAAGTGACATAGCACAAAAACCAACAAAATCACTTCACTCAGTTCTATGTCAACCAAAAGACTCAACAACGAAAGAAGATAAAATCAACATCATCTACAAAATAAATTGTAACAACTGCGAAAAACACTACACTGGCCAAAGTGGACGTCCCCTTCGTCTTCGTGTCCATGAACATAAACTAGCCGTCAAAAGACATGACATCCACTCCCTCATATGGCCTCATCGCATACAGACACCTACGGACATCAGTGTGACTGCGACAAACAACGTTGAAATATAAGACAGACGAAACACAAGGAGTGCTAGAGAATTTTTAGAAGCTTGGCATTTCAGTGAATCATCAATCAATAGACAAAATTTACCAACCATTAAGAAGGAAACCTCACACACCCACGAAGGGTCAAAGTTCAAGTCAAGGAAACAATCAACACCAATGCGAATACAAGTAGCCTAGAAGGTGTGAAAATACACTAAACCAACCAATCACCTTCAAGGTGATCACCACCAGGAGAGATGACTAATAAACTCGTGGAGAAATCTAAAAACTCACTTCAACAAATTGAAGTGTATGCACTGAAGATGTTGCCTAGTAAGTAGGGCGATGAAAGCCTCACAAATAAACCATCCAGCTAGCTCAGAGAACACAACCACATCAAAATCACCCACCTGAGGTACAAATCTTCTTCATCATATCTAAACTCCATTTATTTCTCCTTTATATGGAAAAATCACGTTTTCTTTCTGCATTCAGTTTGACTGAGTTTTTCAATCGCTTCAGGTATACCCGATTCAAACGCAAAATAAAGTGAATGGCTAGCTAGGCATTATACACATCCTTTGTATGTGAGGCAGTAACACTCATCGAAGATGACATTGTGAAGTGGTCACGCTATGTCGTGAATTGGCAGAAGTTAGAAGTCATGGGCTGGCCATTGGATCGAGTCCTAGTGCCTGATGAATGGTCTACGAGCTAGCTCGCTAGCCTTGTAACCAGAAGTTTGTGGATCCAAACCCCGTGGTGAGGGTGCGTACTGCTGAAGAGTCAATCCCAAACAAGGCTGGCGAAACAGCTGGTTGTCCAGTACTTCCTGTGACTGGTTTTCCAATCCTTCTCTAACTGATGTCAGCTCATGATGAAATCCTCCAACAAATCAACCAAACAAAATCCCTACAAAAACCAGTACTAGAATATGCTGAAAATTTTGTACACTACATAAACGCTATTATTATTATTATTATTTAGATAAAGCAAGAAGAAGACGTAATTTGTCTGAATCGTGTACTGTTGTATTTGCGCAACACACTTCGAACAATCTGATCCATCAAACACGGACTTGTCATAGGAATATATATGAAATTAATAAAGAGGTGAGAGGTGAGAAAATATACTTAGGTCAAGTTAAAAGGACATATTCAAGGTCAAATAACAATGAAGACCACTAAACCAAATAGCAGAGGTAATAGTACTTCTACCCTAGCTGGTATCAAAACAAAATTTACCAAAGAAGGTTTAATGTGATGACGAATTGTTGCTTTGAACGCATAAAGGTGGTTTAAACTTTCTAATTGCCAGCTAAGGCTTCCACAAACTTTAGGATACGCCCCAAACACGTTTTATAGATAGGTTTAAAAGATCTGTTAACGTCAATTTTATGTCCTGTCTCCTCTGTAATATGTTTCGCAATAGAGGAGCTAGGTCTCCTGTTCTCACCATTAATGGGTTCTGAAGATTCCATTTGTTTCTGGAGCCATTAAGGAATATGCTCTGAAGCCAGCCGTTACTTGCAGAGATCGATGAGTCCTCCCTATGTATGTGTGTCCACACACTTGACCTAAGTCTATTTTCTCACCTCTCACCTCTTTATTAATTTCATTTATGTATTCCTATGACAAGTCCGTGGAGTGTGATCAGATTGTTCGAAATGTGTTGCGCAAATACAACAGTACACGATTCAGACAAATTACGTCTTCCTTCTTATTGCTTTATCTAAGTTCATAAAGGGAACTAATTGTTTTAAATACTATTATTATCATAAGTAGTATAATACTAACCTTCTGTAGCTGTTTTATTTACAGGCTGTTTCTGCTCCACACGAGTATCACTATCGAACTGCAAGGAAGTATTCTTTTCTGCATTATACGGAGGTTTCAATTTATCAAATTTTGTCTTTGGTCTAGTGATTATTTCACCTTTTTCCTGTTGTTTGTACGCCTTTTCTGGATTGTTATCATTATTGTTATTATTATTATTATTGACATCATTGTCACCATTCGAAGTCTCCTTTTTCTGCTGCTTCTTCTGCTTGTGCTTGTGCTTCGTCTTCTTCCACTTCTTCGCCTGCAAATCATCATTATGTTCCTTCGCCTCCTCGACGTCGTCGTCGTTGTTGTCCATTTCTTGCCCGTCGGATTTATCTGTTTTACTCATAATCATAATCTCATTTGAATGTAGACCATTTTGTATCTTTGAATTATATCCTTTATTATCATTATCATCATTATTATCATAATTATTACTGTTATTGTTATTTTGATTATCCCATGCTGTCCAATAAGTTAAACGATATAATTGTTCATTTGTTAAATTTTTCTGGGTTAATGATACTAGACAGACAATTAGACCACAGGTTGAAAATGAGAATAATGCAAAATACATATAATGCACATTTTTTATTATCCATGGTCGTCTATCCACTTCTCCACAGATTGGTTCATGATAGATAATAGTTAATATTAAGCGTATTATACCAATTACCAAGCCATACATTAAACCAATGAATGCACCCTTTGTTTTGTTTTGTTTTTTTTTTAATGTGAAAGGAAAACAAAAAGAGAAAGAGAAGATTAAAAATAAAATGAAATAAAAAACTATAGATGAATATCACACTGTTATGAAATTTTACGAAAAAAAAACCAAAAAACCAAACATGATGGCGAAACAAATAGGTTGAATAAAACTAAATCAACTTACAATGATTGGTTACAGGATTTCATTATGAGCTAGCTGATATCGGTTAGAGAAGCATTGGAAACTAGTCACAGGGAGTACTGGACAGCTATCTGTTTCGTCAGCCTAGGTTGGGACTGACTCTTCATCAGTACGCACCCACACTACCAGGGTTCTAACCGACGACCTTCTAGTTACAAGGATAGAGAGCTAGTTCGTAGACCATTCATTAGCCACTGGAACTCGATCAATGTCAATGTCTTCGACGGGTATTTTTCCTCACACCCGACCTGCTGCAGCCTACTGGTCATGAATTCTTATTAGAACTCATGTAACTACCTACCTGAATACTGGCCAGTCGCTAGTGAGCATCTCATTGTAATCAGAAGGTCGTGGGTGCGAACCCCCGAGGTGGGTGCGTACTGCTAGAGAGCCAGATGTCTAGTACTCCTTGTAGGTTTTCCAATAGTTCTCTAACCGATGTCAGATCATGATCATATTCTGTAACCAATCAATCAAATCAATACAAACCAATACTTGAATAACCTACAATGAATTTAACACTTTGATTGAACACTAGTCAGTAACTAGTGTGATGTGTCTGGCTAGTCCTTTGTTTGGTGAAGGCTGAATTCTACCAGTCAGGCTGGCTATGTGACCATCATTACACTAGGTAGCTCTCCATCACGGTGCACACTGATTTGATTATATATATGAGATGGTTAGAGGCAATTGACCACAGGAAGCCTTTCCACGACCTAGGTTTCGTGCTAGTTGGCACTCACCAGTAGTCAACAATGCGGCGTATCTGCAACCTTGAACTCATGTCCCTCAAAGACAGCTAGCTAGCCAAACTTTTAATGTCTTCCACTTTCAATGGCCATTCCTTGTTCACAGCCATAAATGAGGACAGAGGGAACCGCTGACCAGTACACACGCCCTTTGGTTGATAGCCAGCCGCCAGATATCACGTCTACTAAGCCAGACAGAGATGTTGTAAGTTGGTATATGCCAAACGAGCCTTCTATATCATTGCGGAGATTTCGTCAGCAATCAGATCGAGCCGCTGGCGTTGAGGCTGATGCAACTCCCTATCTATAAGCTAGGATTCAATGTAGTCCAGTTTAGTTAAACTATCCAGGTCAGAGACCACAACAATGCCATAATTTAGAATATGAAATGCCTTTAAATTAACTGAATGTTTACTCCGCTTCTCTGCATGTATGCAGATAGAATTGTTCGCCATCGTGTTATTTAGTCTGTATCAGAGAATGAAGATATGGTTTATTGGCTCAACTAATCTACAGCTCCCAATCCACTGCTCAGCTCCATCTACTACTGACAGACAGTATGATCAACTGTTACAGGATGTGCCTTCCTTGTGTTATATGAAAGTTACATGTTCTGAACAATTTGCAAGTATCTATCAATGATGAATAGTCATGATACAACACACAAGGCTGAAAAATGCCTTTTTTGTTTCAAGACAAGCGTCAATAACAAAGTGCATTATTATTCATTAATTATCCTGTCCTATTGTAAAAGAAAATCCCCTTTCAAATCCGATACATTGGATAAACAGATTCTACACTTAAATTTATTTTGAAGAAAATATCGATTGATCAATAAAATAGCCTGAAATATACTGCACAGGAATATTTATGATCGATTTGTGATTAAGTTTGATGACTACCCTTAAAAGTATTTGATCAATAAGAATTTATTGATATTTATGAAAATAGAAATAACTGAGATATATTTATTTATTTTTAATGTAGAGTACATTCCAATTAAGGATTGATAAAAAATTGAAAAAGAAAGTTTAGATAATACCACTTGAAATGTCAGAAAAGCAACAAATATATATGAGTACTATCAAATATTAAACACAAACGAACACGCAGACACACGTTGTTATTTCCTATCAGCAAAACAAATGGGACTTTACTTCTATTCATCATTTCGGATTGTGAGGGCGATTGTTACTTTCCGGCTGCCCTCACTATGGAAGTTGGTTGCGTGACCGCAGAGCCCAGGGGACAACTGCTTGAGGCCGGTCACACGCGGCCTGTTTTTGTTTGCTCTTATTCATTTGGTGGGTCTCAGTAGCATATTTATCACTTCTGCCCCGTGACACGGCAGCAGGAAGCTTGGTCGTTGTTAATCGTGCGTCAGTGGCACAGTGGTTAGGACTCTCGCCGACCATGCACATGGTCCGTGGTTCGATCCCCTGCCGGCGCACACCCGATATCTATGGTCGGCCTGCAAAATTTGGGCTACCGATATCCATGCTGAAAATTCCATACTTGTACTGAAAATACGGTGTGGAATCAAGCTGTAAATCAAAATCAAAATTAAAAAAATAATCCGGGCCCCGACCGAGGCGGATTATGCATCAGACTTTTGGCGTCGAGGAAATAGGAATACGCTGAACCACAAATAAGAAGACTCTAGAGGATCCAGATTTCGTGTGTCGATGATAAATGTTCAATGTCACACAAACTCGAAAACTTAGAGGCAGGCGAAAACCAACAAACTGGCTGAAGAGGAAGTGAAAACAGGACTCTAGGTGAACATAAAGAACACAGAGGTGATGAAGATTACCAATCAATAGAAAAAACAACCAGGACCAATCACCATCAACAGTAGAGATTTAACTGAGGCTTCTCCCTTCATTTATCTAGGAAGCATCGTTTCTACTACAGGTGGAACGAATGAAGATGTCAAAGTCAGAATCGGAAAGGCAATATAGGCCTTCATCAACCTGAAACCAATTCGGAAATCTTCTGTACTCAGCATAAGGAACAAGATTCGGATTCCATTCAACACCAATGTCAAGTCAGTCAATTCTTCTATACGGGTCAGAAACTTGAACTGCACATCTGTCACGAAGAGTATTTCCAACATGTTGCAGACTTTTATCAACAGCTGCCTGTCCACTTCTCCCATGCTGAAGATCAAATCACCAGACAGAAAGAATAAGCAACAAAAAACTCTTCATGAGAACAAACCAACACGCGAGAGCCGATCAATCAACAAATATGTAGGATAAAGTGGCGATGGATCGGGCATTCATTGAAAACGCCGTCGAATGACATCACACTCAATGCAGGCCACTGCTCGAGTGGAATCCAAACGGGAAGCAACGAGGGGGTCGTCAATGTGAGGGTGACATGGAGGAGATCGTGTGAGGAAGAGATGAGAGAGTTTGGTCAATCGTGGAGCTAGCCAGCTGAAGAGGACGGCAGAAAATAGAAAAAAGTGGAAATGTCTTGTTAAAGCCCTATATTCCATTCGGAACGCAAGGGAATAATAATAATTGAGCGCTTAACAAGTGTGTTATGTCTCTTGAATGTCTCCTCATTTCCTACCGATTATTTTTGCTTTCTTTATACTTATAAATAATATTTTCCCTTTTATTATTCATATGTGGACTGAATACAACTGGAAACGAAGGCGCGTTGGACAGCTGTTTCGTCCCAGTTTGGGGCTCTTCATTAGTGCACACCCTTGACTGCATCATAGGTCGGACCTGGAACCTTCAGGTTACGGGACCATTCAGTCACTCGAGCTGGAATTCAACGAGAAGAGAATTCTAACTTTACCGACTGATCATATAGCACTAACCTCACCAATGGCCTCTTTGATGAGCATGTTGGACCACAACAGTCACGACTTCTCGCTACAGCTACAGAACATCCATCCAGTAGTCATCAATGCGCTGGAGATTGATATTTAAATTATGTGACTTTGTGGTAATTTAAACTGACTCAAATCTTCACAAACCCCACAATCCTAATAATTGTTGCTACTTGTCTGTAAACGTAATTGGTCTGCAGGGGGACAAGTTAAACTTTAAGCACCACTCACTACCAATAGGGTGTGGTAGCACCATTAACCTTGAATGGTCCAATGAAATTTATTCCCGTGAGTTGAAGCTTTCATCCCGTCGACTTGAGTCAAATGCCTACTCTAACGCAGTTGCACTTGCAATTTGGAGAACATCAAGTCTTCCAGTATTGCTCAGATGTGGAATCGATTAAGAAAGAAAATATTTGTTCATGTGGTGCTGTGATTACCATAAAGCTCCTTAGCAGGGCTGTTGATGGATATGTTCACCGTTGTGCAATTTGTTCGTTTGTACTTCAAGAGTATAGCGGATAGAAAGTCAAGTACTTTAATACATACTATTACTCGACTGGTGAAACAAGGATCTATAATACACACAGATGAGTGGAAAGGTTATAATTCCTTGTCATCCCTTAGATATATTCACCACACAACCAACCATCCTAATGATTTTTTGGATCCTATTACAGCGACCCACACCAATTCTATCGAAGGCTTATGGGAAAGGTCAAAACACTGGATTAAAGACATTATTGGATTTCAGAAGGATGTCGTTTACAGTCATTTAGATGAATATGAATTGATACTCCTATGCTAAACTGGAAGATGTTTTTAATTACATGTGAGCAAAAGGTAGCCTATGTAAAAGTTTTATGCAGTTTTTATGGATATTTTTCTTCATAAATACATGCATTCCATAACCAAAAATACCTCCTTCTTGTGATTGGTGCGTTCAAGGTCATTCGCTGATTGGTTGTTAGTCGTGCTTAAAGTTTAACTTTGACGGGGCTATAGGAATATCACCATTCAAGATTACAGGCATATATTTAGCTAAAGAATCTCAAGTAGAACGAAAAGCTCACCTCACTGAATGACAAGAAACAAGATTCAGTCTGTTTATCCTAAATAGTCACTCAAATAATGGTTTCTTAAGAAATTCATCAATCACTGGCTGACTGGCTAGTAATGGATTAATTCGTCTCATGCGA